TTTTGCTTTCCAGAGGGTACTCTCATCCAGGCAGCAGTGGATTGTAGTTTGGACCGGGCCTAGGTCTTATCAGCACTCCTAGTGGAAATCGAACTCTGATAGCATTAGAAAATTGTACGCTGCACCGAAGGTGACTAAAGAACTTATTGAAAAAATTACTAAGTCGTAAAAACTACTTATATCGGAAATAAGTAGCATCATCCATTTGAATGGCAAACACCCGATTGTTTAACCGACCATTGCATTATCAACTGGGAGTTTAGAAGATTCCAGCTTTCCTCGAATGCAACATCTGCCCCTTGCCCCACTGGTCCCCAGGGCCATGTAGTGGAGTGGTAACGTCTCTACGATCCACACAATCCAGCGTCGAATTTCACTGCGGGTGCCGATGAGACGATGTGGCGAGGTGAAATTGGAATCTTCTCCCGCTGGGACAACAAGACTTTTTGGGAAACATGACTATGGGACATGTACTGTCACCGTAAGGCCTACTAATCAGATTGTGAGGAGAACTCCCCTGAAGCGACTTATGATGATTAATTTTTAGCTAAGAATTACTGATGAGCTCGAGAGTTAATCATGTCGAAAGCAGTTAGGCTTGCTTGATAGCCCGAAGGAACGAGGGGAGAAGAGATGACACAACTAAAAGGACCAGTAATAGTGTAAACCATATTCACATTCATTCTACACATTTGATAGTTTATTCAACTCAAACCGACGTACATTCATGATTATGCAATCATATTCATGCCTTTTCTTGGGTAACTAAGTATTGAGGATCCTGAAATCAATGTGCGCTCTTCTGCAGCTGCCCAGGGTTACGACATGTAGTTTCGCACCTACGTCTGACAAACTCAGAGCTGAGTGCCGATGCAAAAGCATTAGACAAGGATGAGTTAAGAGAAGCCTGCTATGCATTGAACGTTACGCCAGGCATTTAACTTAACGGGGCTGGACTGGTGTAGGTTAATGACAATTACCTGCGCCTCTGGACGCTTGTATCGACGGTTAGAATCAAGTTGGAAATGCTTGTGATGTCCATGCAAGGTGTAAATAGCAGTCCATTTTTAACGATAGCGAAATTTAGGATGCATGAAATAATAGGAAAAATCAAGTCTTGTCTTCAATTAATCGTAAAAAAAATCCATAGTTCCTTCTATAACACCATAAGAAGATACATTTATGCACAACTTGTGCCATACGTAAGCTACTTAGATCAAAAGCGACTATTTTTCAGCCAATCTCATCTGTATCAAAGCTGAGCTGAATTTCTTTTAGTGCAGAAGTGTCTGATAAATAGATTCATGTTGCCCTAACCAAAAGCCAAGAGAAGATTAACCTGGATTTGCCATACCTTTATGTTACTGGGAGGTGCATGCTGACGCAGTTTTCGAAGCACCCTTCTACGGTTCCAGTGACGAGCCTCCGTTTGTCACACATATTGATTAGCATCGCTAGATCTGGATCGCTTTTATATTACAACTTAAAACTAACATTGAGCCAATAAGACTCATTTGAAGAGTAGCAACAATAAACAAAATTTTGTTCGTATGCATAGGTATCATTCATTTCCCTTTGATTTTAATCTTTGTTGGTGACATAGCTGAGAGGCTTGCCCTCGTATCGCAGCCAATTCATTGAGGATATTTTTCCGACTTTCACCCTTTCCTATGCTTTCATTGTTCTATGTAATGATGGCAAAAGATTATGATCTCCAATACTGTGCGTCATCACAACGATAAAGCGTATAACAACATGGCCACTACAATTAATCTGGCACCGCGAAAAGATAGGTAATAAAGGACCTGATAGAATAAATTCATTCGCGTTGTTTCTGGAAAGGGGTTAGATATTGTTAGGAATTGATGCCTCCCTTCAAAACTATTCCATCGGACCGGATACTCAAGATTAAGTAAAAGTCTACATGTAAGGAAAGTCTTGGTAAAAAAACGCAAGAGCAGTTGAGTCCTTTTCTTTTGTTTTTCTATGCCTTAACCAACTGAAATTCACTTATTAACTTTATGAGATGCCTAACTAGAACAAACTTTGTGATTTTGACCGACAGAATGCGTCTGAGAAAATGCTACTAAAACTCACGCCTCTTCGGTATGAAAGTTCTCGGAATTAGTAATAATTCTTGGATAAGAATTTAGTTAACATTGGTCGCTTAATGTGATTCGAGAGAGGTCTGCTTTGCCTTGACTGTCACATCTATTCTATGATTAACTATCGCCCTGGCAGCGTAGAAGATTGGTAACGTTGCCACGACACTCAGACCTGGTTTCGAATCCCGTTAAGGGTGCTGATGAGACCTAGGTGAGGTCGGAACTGAGATCCAGCCAGGATGATATATAATTTTGGGAGGCAAGGCTAGGTAAAATGCAATAACATCATGAGGCCTACTTATATGATTGTGGGAAACTTCAACTAATAGTCGTTAGTTCTCTTATGCGACCTGGGGTAATACAGCTTTTATTCAAGATCTATTGATAGTTTCGAAACCAAATATGGACATATCTGATTAAGTTCTCATTCGGCCTTTTTATTACAGACTTACTGCTTGCCAGAAACCTGTGAGGCGCCCCACCGCCGAGAAGCCCGGAGGCTGCTGGTATTCCAAGTCATCGCACCTCTCCCAGGGACGAATTCGTCTGTGTTTGGGATGGCCGACGAACCCGTCGAGGCAGTGGAGAGTTGACTGATGCAAGGCAGAATCGGCTCATGTACAACGCCCGATGGGAGAGCGTCAATTTCTACGATCTCACGAGTATTCACTAAAGTATATCCATCGATGAGGTAGAAGCAGGCCCTGCCGAACAGCAAGAGGCCCTCATGAACGTCAAGCCCAGCGATTCTGGCACATCGGTACATCACATTCAGACGCTCGCCAGGTTCCAGCAGCCGGAGCACGGCCACATGACTTGCCAACTGCTGGTCTTCCGCACAACCGCTATCCTCGGACACCGCGCCCACAGTCGAGGACATTCCACATGACGACGGAGAAGCAGCGGCTGAAGGCAGGACGGCTGCGGGTCGGCCAGGCCCGGAAAGGGAGGTGTTTCTTCCCAAGTGGCCAGATTTCTTACGCGAAGAAATCGGCGGCCGCTGGTGTACAGTAAGCCCTTCTTGTGGATTCACCGACGACTGGGCCTCTCTATCATTGAGTGTGGGGAGCTTCGCCTTCAAAAACATCATTTAAGCATACAAGTATTTAAGTATCATCCCTCTCCTACTCAAAAAGGTAGGTCTCATAAATCAGTCGAGGAATAGGTGAGATTCAATTGGCCATCGAATCAAAGCATGCCCATTAAAAACCAGGACGAATAGTTTTACGTGCTTGCATTGAAAGTACCCGTGGATCATATACTTCGTGCTGCACGGACATCAATGCAATGTCTACGTATCCGAGATGTGCAAAACTTGGCAGCTAACGCAAAGGCTTGTTTGTTAAGGCAAGTTTTATTGGAAATTTGTTACCAATGTTGATTTAATTTGAAAATAAGATGAAAAAATTCGCTCCTTTTTCCAAAATATTTAGCACTAATATTCCTTATGTAAATTAAGCACAATAAGAATCATTGCCTGTAAGAGGAAGATCACGTCAGTAGTCATAGAAATTGGCTGTGGTGAAATGAGTATTTTCAGGTCAAAATAGTCATTTTGGTGTCAGAAATTCAGGAAACCTGGGTTACATACTAAGTGCCTCTTCATTAATAAAGATGCCACTTTGAGCTGAAGTGACTGCCGGCTAATAAAAGGCATAGTCTTTGCAAAGTCAAATGATGGGATCTAGATAGGCTCCTCATCTTATGGGAAGGTGAAATCAATGCACAACGCCTTTTAATGGGAAAAATTCACAAAGCAACTAATACAAAATTCCTAGAAGCACATTAAAACAAGTAAAATTTAATCGTTCATGCGAATAAAAACCATATACTAATGTTTGAATCCACTTCTGAGCCCATTATTTTCCAAATTATTTTGTATTTAATACTTATAAAGATATATTGTTAAGCTCATAAATGTGAAATTTGATCTAAAAATTATTCATTTAGCATTAATTTCAAGAATATTTATGTATTTAGTCAAAATTAATCAGTAATTTAGAGTTAAATTTTGAATGAACAACTTGATAACCGAATTAAAAAGATTAAAAGACAAAAAATAGATGTGCACAGGTTTGGAGACTACGAGCAGTAAGGGTATTGCTGATCAAATATGAAAAGAAACATTGTTCTAAAATAATTGAACGCCAATATCATG